TTTTTTGTTGTAAAATTAGGTGCCTCGGCTTACATTCTGGTCGGCTTATACTCGGATATATATGGTATATGTATTTTATTTTTACATGGGGTAGTGAAAGGTAAAGGTTTTCCCCTGACATTAAGTCCAGTCATGTCCAACTCTGGGGGGGAGGGGGGGAGGTGTGCTCATGTCCATTTCTAAGCTGAAGAGCCGGCGTTGTCCATAGACACCTCCAAGGTCATGTGGCCAGAATGACTGCATGGAGCACAGTTATGGCATATTGCATGGGGTAGAAATATATTTTAAAAGGTAATTTGTCATAGGGGAGATGGTGCATAATGCACTGAGCTACGTTCTATGCTTTGACTGGGTATGCCATGCCAGGTAAGACATTTTAAAATTACTAGTCTACAAGGTATTTTATTAACTACCGCAGACACCTATCTTAGTAATATCTGGCTTACTGTCTACCTGAGAGAGAAGCAGACCAAACTATCTTCCATTGGTAAAGGTTCTACGGGGAACTCCTTCTTCCCACCTGTGGTCAGGTCAGTGCCTATTCATAGACCTCAAACCCCTGCAAATTGCCATATCCAACAGGCCCATCCAGTTTCTCCACTGTCAAAAACCCGAAGTCTAGATTTCCCGATTCATCCACTAGCAATTTTACATTTGCCTGAGTCTCGACCTGTAATTAACCCTTTTTCCAGTTCCTCAGAATCAAACTACAGCAGCCTTCAACCATGAAGGATATTACTGGTGGAACATTGTTTATTTTAAAACATTAAAATACTCCAAAATCCTACAATGTCCACATGGCTGAAATAGAGACACCTTTGCTTACGGATGGTTCAAGGGACAGAAACTTTGTTTCATGCAGAAAATTATTAAAAATATTGCATACAATTTACTTTCAGGATATAAGACATATATGAAACATAAATGAATTCTTAATACTGAGTTGGGTCCAATTGCCAAGATACCTTACTGTGTATGTTTATGCAAATATAAAGTATATGTAATAATAACAATATATAAAGGTAAAGGTTTTCCCTGACATTAAGTCCAGTTGTGTCAAACTCTGGAGGGGGGGGGTGTGCTCATCTCCATTTCTAAACTGACAAGCCGGCGCTGTCCATAGACACCTCCAAGGTCATGTGGCCAGCATGAGTTCATGCAGCGCTGTTACCTTCCCACCAAAGTGGTACCTATTGATCTACTCACATTTGCATGTTTCGAACTGTTAGGTTGGCAAAAGCTAGAGCTAACAATGAGAGCTCACTCCGTCCTGCAGTTTCAAACCACTGACCTTCCGGTAAGCAAGTTCTGCAGCTTAGCGGTTTAACCCGCAAATATAGGTATTCCAAAATCCAAAACATTCCTGGTCTCAAACATTTCAGGTAAGGGATATTCAACCTGTACTGCTATTAAACTCTTGACAGTATGAGATTGGTATGAACTTCATCTCCAAGACATCACATTATGTACGTATGTGCAAATATACTGTAAGTATTCCAAAATATGAAAAAACAACCTGAAATCCAAAACACGTCTGGACCAAACATTTTGGATACTGTTTGTGTTATCTATCCAAAGAATTGCTATGTCTTCCTATTTCTGATGTCTAGAATAATGCAGGGTCTGGATCAGTTCCTCTAACATAGTGATTCCCAATCTGTGGTGTATCGGCCAACAGTGGTCCGCAAGGATGAAAATATGATCCACGGCCTCACCATTACTACACCGTTGGGTCAAAACCACGTGGCAACGAGAGCAAATGGTTTTCGAAACCCTTTCATAGTGCCGAGGCAACTGGGATGCCGGGAGGGGAGAGGTTGACTCCCCACAAAAGATTACTACTATCACATCAACTCTAGATTATTAAATATGTTTTTTTGTGGGCGAGCAGATAGCGACTACTGAATGGCACATGTTCGGAAACTAGAGCTGATGTGGTCTATCCAATGCAATTTTCTGATTCAGCACCCCAAATCACCAAACCGAATCCAAATTTGACGAAAAACTAATTTGCAAGCCTTTTAGTGCAAATGTTGGAGAGTGGTCACTGGTCAAAGTAGTCCCTGGTCAAGTGGTTGCTGGTCAAAGTGGTCCCTGGTGAAGTGGGTCCTGTTCATGTGGTCCCTGGTCAAAAAAAGGTTGGGAACCACAGCTCTAGCACATAACTTTCCAAACTGTGTGTCGGGACACATTAGTGTGTGAGCAGCAGTGTTTAAGTGTGCCAGAGGAACTTTTGAGTAACATCTGAGTCTATGGCCACTTCCACAGAGCTGTATAAAATTCACATTGAACTGGATTATATGGCAGTATGGACTAACATAATCCAGTTCAAAGCAGATATTATGGATTATTATCCTTGACATTCTGAGTTATATGGCTGTGTGGAAGAGCCCTTAGTGAAATAAACAATAAATTGTATATTTTAAAATAATAATAATAATAATAATAATACTTTATTTATACCCCGCTACCATCTCCCCAAGGGACTCGATGCGGCTTACATGAGGCCAAGCCCACAGTACATCAATAAACAAAGCAAAAACAAAACAATCAATACAATACAATTAATATAAATCACATAAACCAAATAATAATAATAATAATAATAATAATACTTTATTTATACCCCGCTACCATCTCCCCAAGGGACTCTGTGCAGCTTACATGAGGCCAAGCCCACAGTACATCAATAAAGCAATAACAAAACAATCAATACAATACAATTAATATAAATCACATAAACAAAAAAATAAAAAATAAACAATCAACAATAATACACAAGCATTTAAAAACCAATAACAACAATAATAATAAATATTATGCTCTATCTCCCTGAGGGGACTCAAGAGCGGATTACAGAATACATATACAGCAAACATTCAATATATTAAATGAAAAAATATATTAAATGCAAGGTTTCCATGAGATATGTATGGGGGCACAACATACCCTTATACATAATGATACATATGGAGAGGTATGTTGTGCCCCCATACATATCATTATTACAATTTAAGAATGTCCAGTATCTCTGATATGGAGTCGGTTGAACTTTCGATTTGCTAGCAAAAGCTGAATTACTGGGTCGCGGTATTAAAAAGTGTGTCACTGACATCAAAGCCTTGTTGTATGTCTCTGTGTGATAGGTGATGTTATTTTATGTGATGTGTTTATTAACGTTTACTGTTTGATTAGGGGAGTGTCAATCTTAATGTTTTATCTTGTTTTTATCAATGGCACTCAATTGTTGCCAACACTGCGAACCGCCGAGTCTCCTTCGGGGTTGAGAAGGGCAGTATACAAATATCGCAAATAAATAAATAAATAATAGCATAGGTAAAGGTAAATGTTTCCCCTGACATTAAGTCCAGTCGTGTCCGACTCCGGAGGTGGTGCTCATCTCCATTTCTAAGCCGAAGAGCCAGCGTTGTCCACAGACATCTCCAAGGTCATGTGGCTGGCATGACTGCATAGAGCGCCATTACCTTCCCCGCCTGAGTGGTACCTATTGACCTACTGCCATTTGCATGTTTTTGAACCGCTAGGTTGGCAGAAGTTGGGGCTGACAATGGAAGCTTATGCTGCTCCCCGGATTTGAACCTGCAACCTTTTCGGTCAACAAGTTCAGCAGCTCAATGGTTTAGCCCACTGCGCCACCAGTTGCTCCAAATAATAGCATTATGAGATGATAATAAGTAAAAATGTTTGTATTTTCCCCCTTACAGTATGTAAATAAAACATTTTCCCCAACTTCCTGATTGATCTACTAGTCCTGAGTCCTAGTAGCATCCCTGAATTATCCTCCCATGACTCCAAATAGGTGTGGTGGCAAAAGACAATGCAAAAGCTGTTCAAATGCCTGCAACTACAAGGACGGATTATTGTTTTTTCCCTTGGGTTGCCTTTGCCCCGCCCTCAGACCCAGAATGATGGAGAGCTGGGGTGCAATCCCCTAGGACTGTGTAGGGCAGATTGAAAACAGGGCAAGACTTTCCAATATATATGTGTGTATTGATATATATATACATACATACTAGACATCCCCTGCCACGCGCTGCTGTGGCCCAGTCTGTGTATATGTGTTTTGTGTGTGTATATATATGCATATATGGGTGTGTATACATTTGTGTATATGTGTGTGTTTGTGTATATATGTGGTTTTGTGCATCTGTTGAAATGTTGTTGGTTTTTTTGCTTTTTAAGTCTCTTCCACTGTTTTTATGAGTGATGGTCAGTCGCTGGCCTGAGAGGTGTCTTGTGTCCACATTTGGTGTCAATTCGCCCAATGGTTTTTGAGTTATGTTAATCCCACAAACTAACATTACATTTTTATTTACACAGATTCTATTATTATTCTATTATTTATATTGTTATATATTATTATATTAGTCTATTATTCTATGTTATTATATTTCTATGACCCTCTGTGCATGCTCAGGAACAGTAGCCTAGCTTTGCAGTGCTGGATTACTAATTATTATTCTTATTATTCTATGAATATTATTATTAATTTTAATGCATTTAATGCAGGGAGCTCTGGCGTGGGCTGATCCATGAGGTCACAAATATTCGGAAACGACTGAATGAATGAACAACATTATTATTATTATTCTATTAATATTATTATTAATTTTAATTCATTTTGTTTGGCTTTTTAAGTCCCTCCTGCTATGTTTTCCAGTATTTTTAGTTATGGTGGACACTCTTTGGCCTGATAGGTGTCTTGTGTCCAAATTTGGTGTCAATTCGCCCAGTGGTTTTTGAGTTATGTTAATCCCACAAACTATCATTACATTTTTATTTATAAAGATCTATATACAATATGTGTGTGTGTGTGTGTGCATACACACATGCAAAGGTCTGCCATAAATATAATTCCACCTGTAAATCATAATTATTACCATTGCAGAGGTGGTCTGATGGCTTATTTCTTTCTCCCCCCCTTGGAAACCCTTTTGCTTCTCTCTTTGCTCAGAGGCTGCTCCTGCATCCTTGCCTACCTTTGCAATGGTCATGCAGCCCGGGTCTCGAGCGATGCGCGCGCGCCTTTGGTGCAGCGTTAAAGGGCAGGTCTTTCCGCAGCGGCGATGCCAGCCTGTCTGCTTTGCCTGTGCGCCTCCTCCTCTTCTTCTTCCTCCTCCTCTTCCTCCTCCTCCCGTCTCCAGAGACCGGTCCGCCTATCTCCTTACAGGTGCCGGCCGATCCGAGGATCCCGTTCATTTATTAATCATGATCCCGCTTTGCAAACCTTCCAAGGCGGTGCAGCAACAAGGAAAGCACCATCCCCCCTTTTTCTTTCTCTGCTGGAGAAAGAAAAGAAAAAGAAAAATACACACAGACACACACGCCCCTGGGAAGATTGGAAAGCAAAGCCCCCAACCCGCCTGCAAGCTGCAAGCACGCTGCTTGGAAGTCACTGCAGGGTAGGCGCGCGCAAGAGCATGCACACAAACACCCGGGTGGTGGGATTGGGTGGAGCCAAAGGCAGAGAGGAAAACAAAAAACCCCCTCCCTCCCTGCTTCCATGCCCGCCTTTGTGTGCCGCCCTTGGAGTCCAGCAAGACCCCCGAAGTGGGGCAAAGCAAGCAGCAGTAGGGCTGTTCTGGGAAATGGGAGGCAGCCCCTTCCAAAACAAGAGTTGTGCGGGTTTGTTTTGGACTGCACGCACCCGGATTCTGCAACCTGGATGCATTGTGCAGCTACAGGGCGATTGCAATATTTTTGATGCCATAGAATCATAGAATTCTCCCCCTGCCATCCCTTGCAACCACATACTACTTTGCAGGAACACACTATCAAAGCTAGGAAGATGCCCCCACAGAGGACCGGGCTGTGGCACAGCTAGCTAGTAGCCAGCTGCATTAAATCACTACTGAACGAAAGGTCATAAGTTCAGCCCAGGTCGGAGTAAGCTTCCGACCATTAATAGTCTAGCTTGCTGTCAACAGAGGTCATGAGTTCAAAGCCAGCACGGGCCGGAGTAAGCTCCCAACCATTAATAGTCTAGCTTGCTGTCAACCTATGCAGCCCGAAAGGTTGACAGCAAGCCGGGCTGTGGCGCAGCTAGTTAGTAGCCATGACTGAGAGGTCATGAGTTCAAAGCCAGCCTGGGTCGGAGTAAGCTTCCGACTATTAATAGTCTAGGTTGCTGTCCAAAGGACCGGGCTGTGGCACAACTAGTTAGTAGCCAGCTACATTAAATTACTACAGACCGAGAGGTCATGAGTTCAAAGCCAGCCCAGGTCGGAGTGAACTTTCGACCATTAATAGTCTAGGTTGCTGTCAACCTATGCAGCCCAAAGGACCGGGCTGTGGCGCAGCTAGTTAGTAGCCATCTGCATTAAATCACTACTGACAGAGAGGTCATGAGTTCAAAGCCAGTCCAGGTCAGGGTAAGCTTCCACCCATTAATAATCTAGCTTTCTGTCAACCTATGCAGCCCAAAGGACCGGGCTGTGGCGCAGCTAGTTAGTAGCCAACTCCATTAAATCACTACTGACTGAGAGGTCATGAGTTCAAAGCCAGCCCAGGTCAGAGTAAGCTTCCGACCATTAATAGTCTAGGTTGGTGCCCAAAGGACTGGGCTGTGGCACAGCTAGTTAGTAGCCAGCAACATTAAATCGCTACTGACCGAGAGGTCATGAGTTCAAAGCCAGCCTGAGTCGGAGTAAGCTCCCGACCATTAATAGTCTAGCTTGCTGCCCAAAGGACCGGGCTGTGGCGCAGCTAGTTAGTAGCCAGCTGCATTAAATCACTACTGACAGAGAGGTCATGAGTTCAAAGCCAGCCCAGGTCAGGGTAAGCTTCCACCCATTAATAATCTAGCTTTCTGTCAACCTATGCAGCCCAAAGGACCGGGCTGTGGCGCAGCTAGTTAGTAGTCAGCTGCATTAAATCACGATTGACTGAGAGGTCATGAGTTCAAAGCCAGCCCTGGTTGAAGTAAGCTCCCGACCATTCATAGTCTAGCTTGCTGTTAATCTATGCAGCCCAAAGGACCGGGCTGTAGCGCAGCTAGTTAGTAGCCAGCTGCAATAAATCACAACTAACCTAGAGGGCACAAGTTCAAAGCCAGCCCGGGTCGGAGTAAGCTCCCGACCATTCATAGTCTAGCTTGCTGTCAACCTATGCAGCCCAAAGGACTGGGCTGTGGCACAGCTAGTTAGTAGTCAGCAACATTAAATCACTACAGACCGAGAGGTCATGAGTTCAAAGCCAGCCGGGGTCAGAGTAAGCTTCCAACCATTAATAATCTAGCTTGCAGCCCGAAAGGACCAGGCTGTGGCACAGTAGCCAGCTGCATTAAATCACTACTGACCAAGACATCATGAGTTCAAGCACCCAACATTTAATAGTCTAGCTTGCTGTCAACCTATGCAGGAGCCCCCGGTGGCGCAGTGGGTTAAACCCCTGTGCCAGCAGGACTGAAGACCAACAGGTCGCAGGTTCGAATCCAGGGAGAGGCGGATGAGCTCCCTCTATCAGCTCCAGCTCCTCATGCGGGGACATGAGAGAAGCCTCCCACAAGGATGATAAAAACATCAAATCATCCGAGCGTCCCCTGGGCAACGTCCTTGCAGATGTTGTCCCCTGGGCAACGTCCTTGCAATTCTCTCACACCAGAAGCGACTTGCAGTTTCTCAAGTTGCTCCTGACACGACAAAAAAAAAAAACAAACCTATGCAGTCCAAAGGTTGTGGCACAGCTAGTTAGTAGCCAGCTGCGTTAAATCACTACTGACCGAGAGGTCATGAGTTCAAAGCCAGCCCGGGTCGGAGTAAGCTCCCGACCAGTCATAGTCTACCTTGCTGTCAACCTATGCAGCCCAAAAGACAGTTGCATTTCTCAAGTAGGGAATTTAGATACCGCTTTATGCAGGGAGGCTAATTTAACTAATTTATGATGCCAGAAAACCTTCTATCAGCATGCGGAAGAATGAGGAAGTAGTCCATCAAAGGACCCGGTGTCACAAGTGGATGGTGAAGCAGAGGCTCCCCCTGTTGCCGGAATCGAGCATACCCTCATGACGCTGGAATGTTAAATTGCCTCTGTGTCTGTCTATATGTGTTATATATCTAAATGACATTGAATGGTTGCCATATACATGTGCATTGTAATCTGCCCTGAGTCCCCTGCAGGGTGAGAAGGGCGGAATATAAATACTGTAAATAAATATATAGACTCTGCCAGTGGTTCTCAACCTGTGGGTCGCCATATGTTTTGGCCCTCAACTCCCAGAAATCCTAACAGCGGGCAAACTGGCTTGGATTTCTGGGAGTTGTAGTGAAGGAGAACCAATGTAGGGGCACGGGCTCACCAGCACACCAAGTGCACAAGCTTAGGAGACCCCTCAAAGGCCCAAGTAGCAGTGCAAGGAGGAAGCTATAAGTCGGATTATTACTACTAAGGCTTTACTAGCAATAATAGCAAACATGGCTATAGGAATGCAGTCAAAGGTTTTGTCTCACCCTCAAATGCGGTTGCAAATCTTTTATCACTTTGACAGTAAATTGAAAACACATTCTTATTGGTGTTTAAAAATCAATCATTTCATTGGTCTAATCTGACTATACAGTTGTTCATTGGCTCTTTATGATTTTGACAGGCATGAAGGCACACATGGGACCTTAACAATGGCACAACTATCGTTATTGTTCTCTGACCATGTTCTCTGAGGATAATAGTGTTCTGACCATGAACACTTAGTTGAAAAGTATCTATAGGTCGATACTTCAGGCAGCTGGGAAATTAGGGAAATATTAGGGAGTACTTTCTGTCCAACAGCCGTCCTTGGCAGCACTTTTTCTACACGTCAGCATTTTTGCAAACAAAGACCCTCTGAAAAAGCAGGCACATAGGATTTTCAATCATTGGGTGCATCCATTAAAATTCCTTTTAAAACTACGTCTCCCTCAGTAGGCCAAAACACTGGGGTCCCACATGTGGAGCAGACATAGTTTTAAAAGGGATTTTTCAGAGATGTTCCCAATGCCTGTATGTCCATATTGGTCTGTTTCTGCAGTGGGCCTTTGTTTACAGAAAATGCTGATGGATTGAGAAAATGTTGCTGCAGAGAAGAAGTTACTATTCAAGGATAACAGTATATCCAGACAAAGCTGGCTAGCTGGTGGCAAGTTAGAATTCCCAACTTTCCCAGTCACTCTGGAGTTATGCTTGCAACAGAATAACAGATACGACTGATTAATTAAGACAGTAGTGGTCAGAGAACAATAGACCAAGCTGCAATAAATCTTGAGAGGTTGAGAGTTCAAAGCCCGGATCAGGGTGATCCTGATCTTTAGCCCAGCTTCTGCCTACCCAGCAGTTCAAAACAAATGTGAGTAGAGAAATAGGAACCGCATTAAAGTGGGGAGGTATTAGACTCCACATTTAGATCAGAAAAAAGAGGAAGTTTACTAACAAAGAAAGCTCTTTGGCGGGGAGGTGGAGCAACAGCACTCCCTAGTGGCGGGAACCGAGCACAGCCTCCAAACATGCCGAAAGATGGGAAAGCCTACATATAATTCTATCTGTTGTCTGTCTTGTCATTGTTATAATCAGCACTGAATGTTTGCCGTATATGTGTTGTGTGATCCACCCTGATTCCCCTTTGTCATGAGAAGGGCAGAATATAAATCTATATAAATAAAAATGTAATGTTCGTTTGTGGGATTAACAGAACTCAAAAACCACTGGACGAACTGACACCAAATTTGGACAGAATATGCCTTACAACCCAATGTATGTCCTTCACTAAAAAAAGTTTTATTTTGTCATTTGGGCGTTGTAGTTGCGAGCATTCTGAACCCCACCAACGATGGAATTGAACGAAACTTGGCACACTGTTCTCCCATGACCAACAAAAAATACTGGAAGGTGTCCTTTGGTTTTGGAGTTGTAGTTCACCTATATCCAGAGATCACTGTGCACTCAAACAGTGATGGATCTGGACCAAACTCTACACAAATACTCAATATGCCCAAATGTGAACATTGGTGGAGTTTGAGGAAAATTCAATCCTGACATTTGGGAGTTGTAGTTGCTGGCATTTATAGTTCACTTACAATCACAGAGCATTCTGAACCCCACCAACGATAGAATTGGGCCAAACTTCCCACACAGAACCTCCATGTGGGCCACAGCAACGCGTGGCAGGGGACGACTAGTACTGTAAATAAACCACTGGATTATGCAATCTTCTCAGTTGCTCACATGCTAATGGATGGATCCCACTCAAACACTTGTCAATCAAGCTTGCCAATTGCACCCTTCACACTTGATTAATACAAATTGGTTCTCTTTTCCCACCCTGGACATTCCACAGGTATATACCCCACTTGCTTCACCACCATCAGATCCTCTGAAGATGCCAGCCATAGATGCAGGCGAAACGTCAGGAGAAAATGCTGCTAGAACATGGCCACGCAGTCCAAAAACCACACAATACTCCAACGCGCTTCCTGC